GAAGGAAGGAAGGAAGGAAGGAAGGAAGGAAGGAAGGAAGGAAGGAAGACAGGAAGAGGCAGACAGAGACAGAGATAGATCTATCTCTATGTAAAGATATAACTATTTAGTCTTTGTTCATCTAGGTCACAGTGATCTTTTTCGACTTTTAAGGCTTGCAAAGTGCTTTACATATACCATCTACTTTTATCCTCATAACCTCAAGAGGTAGATTCCATTATTACTCCCTTCCCACTTTAAAGATGAGGAAATTGAGGCTTAGCAAAAATAAGCAAATTGTCCAGGGTCACACAGCTAGTAAATTTTCAAGGTAGAAGCGGAATTCATCTACCTGACTCGAACTGCTGGTTTCTTTCCACTTATCCTGTGCTGGTTCCCTAGCTCATTAGCTGGAGCATCCCGCGCCCATTTTTTCAAAGTCTGCTATTTGCATGGTACTTTCTAATTTTCAAAGTGCACCTGGTTCTTAGTTCCAGCAAAACAACACATATGCAAAAGAAGTTGAGGGAAGCAGAAAAAAAAACCCAAAACCCTAATACTTATGAGCCCTTCTACAAGAAGGTGTCACATTTGCAAATGACCCCAGACTGAGCATCAGGAGAGATAGGGTCCAGTCCTAGGCCTGCCACTAATTCAGTTTGTAATATAGGACACACTAGATGTTCCATAAGTACTGTTCACTGGAGTGTATTCATTTCAGCTCTTACTGTACCCAAGATGATACTTGAGATAAAGATACTGCTTCTGCCATGTCCTTCTCTGGGCTCTTGGCTTTCTGTAGATCATTAGGATAGTAGATGGAGGGAAAGAATCAAATACTAGAGAGTCTGACTACTTGATTCTCCTTAACATTTTTTTAAAGATGCTCATTCAGAACTTTATTCATATTGTTTTACAGACTTAAAATTCATTCTTCAATCTCTAGATAGAGTAAATTAAGTACAGAGGCAACCTTAGTAGTGGAAGTCAGAAGAAATCCAAGTTTGAATCCCAGCCCTAACATTTATTATCTGTGATCATGGGCAAGGCACTACCTTTCTATGATTTAGCTTCCTTATCTGTTAAGTTGGGGTGATTCTCTCCTCTGCTCTCCCCTCCTCTCCTCTCCTCTCCTCTCTCTCTCCTCTCTGTTGTGAGGTTTGGATGAAATAATGCATGTAAACCAGTTTGTAAAGTGTAAAGCATTATATAAATGTCTGGTATTATTAGTAGAAATCAACAATTTTCCCCGTTTCTGTTGGTGCCATCAATTTATTTTCTGTTTTCTGAAAATAAAGATCCTGGGCAGCCCTAAATGTCATAAATGTTGCATCATTAGCCATCTTTTTCAGTAAGAATGATGGCAAGAGAAACCAGAAGAAGTCATTAATTTACTTTTCTATTTTTATAGCCTTTCCCAGTTATAGAAGCAGAGTCTTTAAGACTTCATTTACCCTTCTAAATGCTTCTTTGCCCTAAGGAGAGATTCATTCTTCAATGTCTCTTTTTAACACTTCATTGAATCACCTGCATCTAAAAAAAGATCCCATTTACTTAAGCATCGTGTGGGGGGAAAGAAAGAGTGAGTTCAGTCCATGGAGACACATCTTCAAATACCTAACACCTCTCTTAACAAAGGCAATGTCAGATCCTCTCAGGTCTATTGCTTTCACTTCCATCTTCCCTGATTCTGTAGAATCTCTCCATTTAGTTATCAAATCTTTTCAACAACAGACCTATCACTTTTCCTCATGAATTTTAACTACCAAAATAACCTTTCCTCCTTCAATTGTAACTTTATCTGCTTGCCTTTTACTAAACTTTCTAAAACTACCTACCTCTTTTCCTTTTCTTTTTCTCTTTCTCTTTCTCCTTTTTTCTTTCTTTCTCCTTCCCTTTCTTCCTTCCTTCCTTTCTCTTTCTCTCTTTTACTCATTCTTTCTCTTCTTTTTCTTTCTTTTTTCCTCTTTTTCTCCCTTCCTTTTTTCTTTCTCCTTCCCTCCGTTCCTTTCTTCACTTCTTTCTTTTTCTCTTTTACCCACTTTCTCTTCTCTCTCTCTCTCTCTCTCTGTCTCTCTCTCTGTCTCTCTCTCTGTCTCTCTGTCTCTCTGTCTCTCTCTCTCTCTCTCTCTCTCTCTCTCTCTCTGTCTCTCTCTCTCTCTCTTTCTATTTTTATAGTTCCTTACCTCTCTTTTCCAGGTCATTCTCTGCCTGGGAACCTCTGTCCTGTGAAATCAACTTCTTCCCAGATTCTGGAATGGCCTCTTTTTTACATTCTCTCCCCTCTCCCCTACCTGGGGGCTTTCTTGACTTTCTCAAGTTTCTGATGACTTCTGTTGTAGCTTCCTGGCTGCTGCCCTTGGTTGCTCAGCTTGTCTTTTTGAGGGCTCTTCTGTTCCCCTGCAGTTCATTGATCAAGGTTTTTGTCTGTTTTATATTCTTATCACTCTTAGTGATCACAAAGTCCTGATTACAAAATATGGAATAAAAGAGTCACCTCCTTCATACAGCCAGAAGCAATTTCTTTCATCATCAGTAATGAGAGTGAAGCAGCCTTAATATATCCAGGATAAAAATCAAATTCTATTTTTCTTAATGAGATGAATAAGACAAAGATGTTTTTGGCAGTGGGTAAATGGTTAGCAGCTGGATTCACCGCCTGTGCTCCCCCAATGAAAAAAAATACACTTAAAAATTATTATTATGGCTTTTGTCCTACTCTCTGGATTTAGCTGAAAATGCTATCAATTTTTAGTCATCCAATGGAGCAGGGAGAATTTAAAGGCTTAGAAGGATTCTGGAATTTAACAAGAAGCAAATGGATCATTTGTTTTGGACATGTTTAAAACCTAACGTTGAGTGGATAAGACTTCATCCTTACAGATTATGAGAAAGAGTCGGCTAAATCAACAATCAGTCTATAGGACGTGTTGACACATCTGATCTCAGTATGTCAACGCCTTGTAAAGTCTGATTACAAATAAGCCTTGGATTCATTCAGCTTTGTCTCATTTCTTTGCCTGAGGAATGTGTGTTTCTAAAATACATGGTGGTGTACTTCAGGAAGTGGTGCAATAGATAGAGTGCTTGGCCTGGAGTTGAGAAGACATGTTCAAATTGACCCTCAGACACTTATTGGCTGCGTAATCCTGAGTAATTGTAAGGTACGTAGCACAATACTTGGCACATAGGCAGGTACTTCATAAATGCTTGTTCCCTTCCTCTTCATTTTGCTTATTGTAAGCATCACGCCAAGCCTTACATTGTTTCCATTTGTTGACTTCCTTCCCACAAATGTAAGGACTCTACTTCTCAATGTCTGTCTTACATATTCTTCTCTTCTGTCTACATACTCAATACCATCTGCTTTCATGGGTTCAATTATATTTTTTCAAATGACTCCCTCATCTATCTTCCTAGGCAAAATCTCAACATCCTTCCACTTTACCCACCTGTTTCCATCTTTCATTTCCAGCTCCCATTTGAATATCTCCATTGGTGTATCCCATGAACATCTCAAACTTATCATGACCAAAACTGAGCTCCTCATCTCGCCTGGCCCCCTGGGGAAGACTCCAAACTAAGACTAACTCAATAATTGGTGAGTCCCTAACTGGAAACTTGAAGCATCATATTATGGTAAGGCCCAGCTACATAGCTCACTCTTTGGTTTGCCCCAGCCCCATCCCAACTGTCTGGCCCTTGTGTGAATACATTTCTTCCCTCCTTACTTCCTCTTTTCCCTTGCTTTCCAACTCTCCCTTATGTTTTGTCTTTTCCTATTTGAATGTAAGCTTGAGAGTAGGGACCATTTTGTTTTCTTGTTTGTTTGTTTGTTTTTTAATCCTTGGTGCTTAGTATAGTGCAAAACACATAGAAAGCACTCAAAAAAATGTTCTATGTATCCATCATCCGCTGCCCTCCACTACAATAGAAATCTGTCCATCCCAACTTCCTTGTTTCTGTTGATGGCACCACAATCCCTCCACTACTCCAGATGTGAAACTTCAGAATCTTCAAGCAAGTAACTAGCACTTTTTAAGCATCTGTTTTTGCCAGGAATTTTTCTCGGCACTGAGAATACAAAGACAAAAGTCAAGAATCTCAGAGTATGTGAGGGAAGACAGCATGTAGCTACACTGAGCTCTTCCTTCTAACACATTCTCTACATTCAATCAGTTGACAGTTCTTTTGATTCTACTTTACTTTTCTTGTTTCCACTTCTGCTGTCACTATATTAGCTCAAATTTTCAATACTAATCATTTGAACTGTTATCATGACCTCTTAATTGGCTTCCTCCTTGTCTCTCACCTTTCCAATACATCTTTCACAACACTTTCAAAATAATCTTTCTGATACATTATATGACCATGCCACTCTACCTCTGAAAAATCTCTAGTGTCAAACTTGACATACCGTCCTTCTTTATTGTATGGCCCCTTAACCTAATTCCCTGTACCTGGAAAGTAATCTCATTTCATCTCTACCTTTAGAAAGCCTTCTCTTTCTTTAAGGCTCAGTTCAACCACTACCTCCATGAAGATTTCCCTGATCCTTACATTCTGTCCAAAAGTATTATCTCTCTACGTAAGTTTTCCTAGATGGACCTGAGTTCAAATCTGGCCTCAGACATTTGACACTTACTAGCTGTGTGACCCTGGGCAAGTCACTTAACCATGATTGTCTCACCAAAAAATATATATATTTCTAGATTATCTTGTCTAAGTCTTTCTTCTTAACTATCACTACCTTATTTGTATTATATTCAGGTTATATTACATTACAACATTTCATATATGATGTTATACTTGAATATAAAGCTTATCAGTCTCTAACTAGAATATTGGTATCTTCTACTTGATAGCAACTAGTATATATCCTAGCACATGGTAGGCATTTCACAAAAATTGGTTGAAATTAAATGCATAGGAAAATACAAGAAGATACTTCATTTCACCTTTAAAAAGCAATAAATGGGACAGCTAGGGGATGAAGTGGTTAGAGCACTGACCCTGAAGTCAGGAGGACCTGAATTCAAATTCAGCCTCAGACACTTACTATATCTATGAACCTGGGCAAGTCACTTAACCCCAATTGCCTCTAAAAAAAATGCAATGAACACATCAAATAAAGTAAAAGAACAGTAATAAAACACATACAGAGAGGGGAAAAAATCCTCACTTGGAGAAAAATCCCAGAAAAACTAACAGATATACTGAAGAAATGAGTAAGCAAAAACATGACTTAATAAAATGAATAAATATAGAATAAAAAAATAAAACAATGAGAAATCTTCAGAAGGAAATAATAATACCATATTAGAGATAGCCATAAAAGCATATGGACCCCTCCTATGAATCTTCAAATTGTTTTTCTAAACAATAAAAGATAAAAAGAAAGGTCAGGTATCTACACAAATTCTTGTAAAGCATTGAAAGAAGAACATAAAGAAGCTGGCATGAGATTCAATAGCTTGGAATATTCAGTGGGAAATCTTTAAAAAGAAATGGATTCTCTGAGAAATAGAATGGCATAGATGGAAGCCCAAAATACAAAGATGGCAGAGCAAACCTAAAACAAAATGAAAAAGTAACATAAATGGAAGAGACTTGAGATCCCTATGAGCCAAGCAGTGTACCTGGGGACAGAGTTCAGCAAGACAACTTGGGAATTATTGGTCTCCCAGAAAAATACAAAAGAACGAAAGGTATGACTACCACATTCCAGGGAATTCCACCACAAAACTACCTAGAAATGTTGAAAACAAAGGGTAAAATATAGGCAGTATCCTAAACTTCCATGACCTACACCTTTAGTCCATCTTAGCCACACACAAGAATTGTCCATCTTTACCCTCATCATTACCCTTAACTTCTCCTTTTCGATCATTCCCTCTGCTTCACTCTTCCTAGATATATTCTGTATCCTCACAGTAATGTATATTCATTCTACCTTTACCTGTCTTCCGGTGCCACTCGCCCCTACCCCAACTTACTTTTTGAAGTTTCCTGTCTGACTTCTGACCCCAACCATCCTACTCACTAAGGTTACCAATAATCTTATTTGCTCATTGGCAGCCTTTTGACAGTCTTCATTTCCCTTGACCTCTTGGTAGCTCTTGATAATGTTGAACACCCTCTCCTCCTCAATACTGTCTCCTTCCTCGAGCTCCACAACCTTCTTCTCTTGATTTCCCTCTTACCCATATAACCACTCCTTGGTATCCTTTGCTGCATCATCATCCATATCCTTGTCTCAATTGTGGATTTTCCCCAAGGCTATGTCTTAGGTCTTCTATTCTTATCTCATTATACACTTCCTTTTGGTGAACTTATCAGTTCCCAAGGGTCCAATTTTCTTCTCCATGTAAATGCCTCACACCCCTCCATAATCATGCTTTATCTCTCTCCTGAGCCTCAATCCTGCATTGCCAACCACCTATTGGACCCTTGCACTTAGATATTTCATAGGCATCTTAAACTCAACGCATCTAAATGGAATTAATCATCTTGCCACATAAACTCACCCATTCTCCAAACTTCTCTGTTTCTGTTGAAAGCCACCCTACTAGTTGCTGAGGTTCATTACCTTGAACCAAAGCTCATTGGAGTCATCCTTGACTCCTCCCTCTTCCTCCTTCTCAATCACTAATCTGTCACCAAATGTTCTTATTCTGTGACTCAATATTTTTACTTCCACTCCTCTTTTCCACATAACCACCACTGTATTTCAAGGCCTCAAGATTTTTATCTGGATTTCTTCAGTAACTTCATGGTTGGTTTCACTGACTCAACTCTCTTCAGTTGGTTATTACTAGCTATTCAATAAGTATTCAGAAAGAACAGAGAGCAGTACACCCTTCTCATGTTCAAAAAGATTCAGTAGCTTCCTATTTCCTCTAGGATAAAATGTAAACTCCTCTAATTGTCATTGAGAATTGAGGCCAACCATCCTTTCCAGCTTTATTTGATAGTATTTACCTTCACATACTCTACGTTTCAGGCAAACTCCCCCATTGATTGTCCCTCAGACTTGGCCTTCCATTTCCTGCCATGCTTTTACCCAGCCTATTCCCCATTCTTTTAATAACTTATTTCCTTTGTCATCTCTGGCCTTTCAGAATCCTGGCTTACTTCAAGGTTCAATTTAGGAGTGACCTGCAAGAATCCAAGAATCCTCTGTCTACATAGATACAGAGAAACCTCAACAAAAATGTATGTGTGTGTGTGTGTGTGTGTATGTATATATATAGAACTGAGAGATATATAGAAATGTAATCTGTGTAGATCATATATTTCTATAGATTATATAAGTACATAAACTATAGGTAGAAATAGAGACATCTCTATATAAATGTGTATCTATATATATACACATACATATGTATAACTGGGAGATATATAGAAATATCTAATCTATAACTAGATTAGATATTTCTATAGATTTAAGAAACATAAACTGTAGCTAGATTATATATTTCTACAGATTTAAGAAATAATCTACAGCTAGATTATATATTTCTATAGATTTAAGAAATATATAATCTATAAATAGAAATAGAGATCTCTCTATATCTATCTCTATATCTCTCTGTCTATTATATAGAGGGATATTTCTATATCTAAAGATATCTGAAGAGATACCTGTATACATATCTATCTGTAAGATATAGATATTATATTAACATACATATATGTAACCCCTTCTCCATGTACGACAGTCCTGGGACACTGCATGTGTGCAAGAAAACATGGCTCCTGATTGGCTGAGATATTTCTAGGACAGAAAAGTAGAAAAAGAAAGAGTCAAGGCATAGCTTTGCCTGATGGGAGACATCTATATATTTGTGCATTTATTTAAGTCATGTTTGTATTCATTTTCTTATTATTTCTATTGGGGCATGCTGTTCTACCTGTTTAGCAAAATTGCCTTATTCTTGATTTTTCAAGTCTTGAAATGTATCTTAGCAGATGTCTGGATTTTCGGGGCATTTGGATTAGAGCGACAGCATAGGAGAATTGGGGCAGCTGGGTGGTGCAGAGGATAGAATGCCAGGCCTGGAGTCAGGAAGATTCCTCTTTGTAAGTTCACATCTGGCCTCAGATGCTGACTGGTGCCTTCTAGTGCATCTAGCATAATTCTGGTACCTTCTCTAACCTTTCCTGCATAGAGCTTATGCACGTACATAGCTGTTTGTGTATCGACTCCTCTATTAGACTGAGAGCTCCTTGAGAGCAGGGACTGCCTCTTACCTTTCTTTATGTGTCCAATGCTTAGCACAGTGCCTGGCGCATAGTAGGCACTTAGTAAATGTTTATCAACTGCCTGACTGGCTGTTTTAGGAAGATTGGTCTATTTAAGTGACTCTCTGTCCCCAGAGACAATGCACATGTTTTCTTTAGTGTCTGAAAGTTGTTAAGAGAGTCGGCTGTCTTCATTCCCTCTTTGTGTGTCTCTGGCTTTCCGATTTTCTGTCAGTTTTTTCCCCCTCTCCCAGCTCAGCTGAGCATTCCTGCCTGCAGGCAGGCTGGGACTCCCACATCCCTCCCCCAAGAACTGTTGCCTCAGTGTCTTTACCATGTTTGTCTATGGAGAGGACCAGTCTGTTTAAGTTCCAGTTAGGGAACTACAGTATTTGTATGATTTATTATTCTCTTAAGATCTAACTGGTATGAGAGTGCACTTAAGATAAGGGGGGCTAGGGAGGGAGGGAAGGGGGAGGGAAGCATAACTAGATTAGAATTCTGATCTGTTTTCCCTGAATGTGTAAGAATATGCATGAAACTGTGTTACATTCATTTTGTTTTATTTGCAGATGATAAAAGCAGCTCTTAGTTTAATTGGAAACTCGCCTGAGCAAAAACCTTTCTTATCTTGGCTTGATCAGCCTGGATCTTAAAAAAGGGTTTTCCAGTCTCTGGCCACTTATGTTGATGTGACTTGTAAGTATCAATTAATTTAGTAGCTGTCGCCTTTTTAGAAAGTGAAAGTTTTTCCAGTAAGAAAGTATCATAAACTTCTCAAACAGCTAGGTATTTTAGACTCAGGTGGGAGGAGCTATTCATCTGAATTTGGCCACTCAGGGTTGAAGTGCTTAGAAAACAGTATTCAGAGAGTAGGGAAGGAGGGCTCTCTTCTCCTGCTCTCCTGAAACACTACTGCCTTGAAAAAGAAACAAAGAGGAAGCGAGCCTTAATGCACATGATAATACCTGTGCCATGAGAAGAAAAGTCCCAAGCACACTAAAATAGTTAAAGTCAAGTTTTTAAAATGTGCACAATATTTGTAATGGGTCTATTGCATTTCGGGATGATTTTATCACGTATTTAAATTAGGAATGGACTGAAAATTTGTGTTCAACTTTTATGAGGACTTCTATGCAAAACTATAAGAGGTGGAAATGATAGAATACAGGAGTTTCTCTACTTTCCTACATGATGGACAGGTATTTATTTCTTTAGTGTTTCCCTAGGGTGAGGTAAATAACTTTTGTTCAGAGTAGAACTGTGGAGTGTCATTAATTGTGCTAAAGGATTTCTCAAAATGGAAAACAATCATTTGGATTTCTTCTTATCATATTCAAGTGATTATTAAAAGCAAGTTAATTCCTTCTGCTGCCTCATCATTTCTCAAAAATACTTATTTAAATGTTTCCCTTTGAGTTAATTGTTTCTGAATGAGATTGTGATATTTTTTATTGCTGGGGAAAACATTGTATTTTGAGTCTTAAAGAATATATTTGGTGTGATATTGCAAATATGTTTGAAAAAAAATGCATGGGAAGTTTTTTTTTTTAATTTTCTGTACAAAAGTAAAACTGCCTGTGTGCTT